TACTTCTACAGTCTGGCTCAGATTCCTGGCTGAACTCAACAAATGACTTACATCACTTGACAATCCAGCCACTTCAGTGAGATGACTGACTGATTTCAGTATAATTAAAATCTGTACTGTAGTTCATGGCCGAGAGAGACAGCTGGGCTCCATAGCTAGCACAGGCTGCACCATCCCTATCAGGTCTACTGTGTTGCTGCTCCTCTCACCAGCCTCAGAGCCCAGCCTGTGCTCTCTGGCCACGGGCTTCCATTCAGTTGTACCACTGCTACGCGCTTTTAAATCGGGATGGGTAAGATACATTCTCATTCAAAAACTCCCCTTCCCTCACTGAATGGCATGGAAGCTAAACACATTCTTCCTGAAGGAACATCCCCTCTCTGCTGTAGTACTGCTACTGCTAGCTGGTAGTATAGCCACTGCAGTAATTTTGACCTCACATCTCCAAGATGCTGGCTTGCTTTCTCCCTGGGTCCCCAGTTACAGGTTAAATTCTAAGTAGACAATCAGCCTTGTGCAAACAAAGACTGAACTTTAGTGAGTTCCCTGAATGACCTCAGGAAGGTCTCATGGCAGCTGAGATAAAGACAACTTCTTGCACCACTATACAAGAAGTCAGTCTGCTAGAATCAACTTTGAAAAGGACTGCAGTACAAAGCTTACTCCTTTTTGGCTAGGAAGGAGTATCTGTCTGTAGGTATTGGTCTGTATACAGAAGTAGCTTCAATAGTGACTGTGTCTTGAAGAGCTAAAAGAGAACCCGATCAGATCAACTGAGTGTGGTAGTCCCTTTTCCCCTAACAGACATTGATAACATTCTGGCAGGGATTCTCCAAGCAGCTGCATGAAGAGGGAGGCAGAAGAAAAGCTCACACCTCTTGGATCATTTAGTGAGAGTGTTAATTGATCTATTTTCTTATCAGCCATCACCTCTGTTCACTTACCAATCTTGGAAGCCACCTACCATGCACTGTCATTTTAAAAGTGTAATATTTTGCAACAACAGAAAGAATAGAAATCTGTCAAAACCTGCAAGAGGTCAACACCTGTAAAAAACTCTTCAACTTGTCATCTGGCGCAGGACCAGGAAAGAGTTTATGCTATTGGACAACTGTCACAGATGGAGGCCTAAGTTTTCAAAAGTAATTTGGGATTAGCTTTTAGATGCCTGAATCAGAAAGTTAGAAATAGAATTTGAAAACTGCTTTTAATAAGATGTGTATGAAAAGCCAAGACACGGAGCCAAGCCAGACTGCTAATCAGAATAAAGAAAACAAAAGATCACCATCGGAAAGTGGGAGCCCAATCCACATTCCTCTAGTGTCACACTGAAGGAAGTCTCTCAGAAAATTAAAAAATTAATTTATGTATGTGGACTCATTCAGTATCAGCTATGCAAAAAGAATTCATATCTATCTGTAATTTTATGATGTTATGTAGCTACATTAATTTTGTCAGAAGAGGTAATTTAAATCCTTTGGGAAACATTACCCTCTTGATATAAGCACGTAACTCATATTAATAGGATCTGCATATGTATAACAGCAGGCAGAATAACCCTGAGTTTGGAAAACAGCTTTGTATTTTAATCAGTTTGGGAACACCAGCAAAAAAAACCATACCAGGGACAACTAATTGAACACCATTTGTTAACTCATGCTAGGTAATAAACATGAGTTAATTGATCAATATTTAAAACTAAACACAATAAACAAGTCAAAAAATCAAACAAAGCAAAACTGTTAATATAATCAAAAAAGATGGACAGGTAGAAGGCGCACAATTAATCACTTATAAATTGTGGCTTTTCACAATCCAGACCAAATCTTTGGTATACTCAAATTGCATAATTGACTCTGTGTATGGAGTCTCCCAGCTGTTCAACAATACAGATAACAGCAGTAATGGTATAATTATAACTTACAGCTCAAGTAGATAAAAACCTGATAGTTCTTAACTAGTGGTTGCAATTAAGAGTGGAGAAGAGCACCATTCACTGCAACTGCTTATGTTTCATTAAGAAAAGTGGATTTTAAAGTTCCAATACAGCAGAGCAGCTGCATGCTGCACCCAAGCCCTGACCCTGTCCTGATAGAAGACAATGACCAAGGAACCCAGATCGACTTGTGGCAGCTGTAGGAAAAGTAGCTCTGTAAACACTGGTTAAACAGCAGCTGTAGCTATGGAATGCACTAAATGGAAAGCCAGCAATAAACACATAAGAGGTTGTTTCCTCCACTCCAAGTGTCACTTTAGTTTTGGCTGCATCAGTGGGTTGAAGAGACAGCATTATCACAGAATCACAGAATACCAGGATGGAAGGGACCTCAACGGTCAGCTAGTCCAACTTTTCTAGGTGAAGCATGACCTAGATTAGATGTCCCAGCACCCTGCCCAGCCAAATCTTAAATGCCTAGTGTTGGGGAGCATCACTTCCTTTCTACCAGCTTCCTCTTGCACAGGCAAAGAAATTACACACACTCCTGCGCACACATGTGCACTGCCAGCCCACGGACACAGAAGAGGAACACCACAAGGCGGGGCACGCAGTTTCTACCCCCGGCAGAAAGCCCAGCGACCGCGGCTGAGCCCCGCGGGCAGGCCGGCGCTTCAGCACCAGGGGCAGCGGACAGCGGCAGCTCGGCCTGGTCCTCCTCCGCCGCAGGGCAGGAGGCCTGGCCACTCCGCCGGCTGGACCGGCAGCATGCCAGGGACACGCGGGGACATCCATCATGGCACGTCAGTAAAGTCACCAGCAGCGGCAATGCGCCAGAAAAGCTGCTCAGTTTAGAATCAGTTGGGTTTTTTTCCACACATACCCCAGAGAAACAAATTCACTAGCAATGCACCACATCAGTAAGTTTCAAAAGCAAACCCTGCACCACGAAGCTTCATGAAGTATGAGCAAAAGTGGCTAAACAAATTTTCTAACAGACGTTCTCTTGGAATAGAAAGTTCTCAAACCCAGGCTGCTTAGTTTGTGCTTTCTAAGCAAACAGAAGAGTAAAACCAGCAGCTCAGAAATAAAGTGGGTACCAGCCACACGTTTCTCTTGCTTTTGGCTTGCTCACTCTGGTTGCTAAGCAATTTTATTATTTTTTTTAAGCTCAAAACTACTCACTGACAGATAGATTAATGAAAACACACACTTGCACTACTTACAACATTCTTCATTTATATTTCTTGATACACCAGTACTGTTTCTTTCAATTATTTCTTTTAAAGGAATTCCATTTCCAGGTTTGAAAGTAAAGAGAGACAGGGGGAGGGGAGGAACAGAAAGAAGCTAAGTGTAATTATCAAATTTTTCAGTGGATTGCAGGAAAGAGGCACCCAGAGACTTGCATATCCTCTGGGACTTGTAGCAAAGACAGCATGTCTAGCTCAGCATAGAGATGTGAGGCACCAGGTGACCCGAAGGCACCTTGTTCTTAACTGGTTTACCTATTTATAACTACATGACATAACATTACCTGTGACAGCACAAGTCAGCGCAGAGTTATTTCAGCAGTCAACCATATACAACTTCTTTTTATTTACACCTTATGCACAGTGATGCACATTCCATTTTCACACTCAGTTCTTTAGAAACTTGGCATCTAGCATTGTCTTCCAATCCGTGCCCTGAAACGCCACTCAACTCACCTACAGTTTGGTAATTCTTAAGAAATCATAATGTAAAAGAAATAATGACCCACCACACAATCTAATCAACTCCTCCATCAATGGTAAAATCAAACTGCATACTGGCCATTACCAAGGGTGTAATTACAGCAGGGATAACGGGAGGGGGACAGGAATTAGCTCCATCTCCAAACAGAGGATAGAACACATCCCTGCTATCTCCAACTTTCTGTCAGCTGAAAGGGGGAAGGCTAAATGGGGGAGACTGCAGCACAGCAAGCAACAACTCTGAGGCAGCTCTTTTCCCTTCACAGCTGGCAGTGAGCTGACTGGCTCAGTATCAAAGGCTGTTACACAGTTGGGTCATTTTGTGCACTGCTGCTGCTGTTCGGACATGAGGGAGGCTGCAATAGAGCTTCCTGGCCACAGATTCTCCCTCACACACACACACCCCAATGAACAGAGGAAGTCTGGTTTGCTGAAAAGAGCCAACATAAAGAACTTTCTTTTCCTTTGTTTTTGAGAGCAAGTAACCTCTGATGTAGTTTACTGTTGACAGAGACCGTAAGGAAAGAAAAGGTCAGGAAAGGAGAGAAAACCACAGGCCTATTAAGAAAGAAACAGGATAGTCAACCATGTGCAGGATGAACTGAAGGGGACAGCTGAAATCTCAAGGGAACCATGAGGAAAAGGTGGCAGAGAGGAAGGAGCAGTAGTGGAGAAGGGGGGTGGGAAGGTCAGGTAGAGCCTTACAGGAGGCTTATCCCAATACCAGGCAGCAGAAGATGAAAGTAGGGAGCTGGAGGTGTGTTGGTGGAAAGCATCGGGCTGTACACCCATGGAGAGTCACAAAAAGTGATGCTGAGGCAAGAGGGGACCTCATGAGACAGAAAAAGTGGACAACGCAGGTGCAAGTTTCTTGCGCTTTTGTGGCAGAAACCCATCAGGTAAGAAGGCAAAGAGTGAGAGAGCAAAAGACTCGCAAAACGCTAAGGGCAACATCTCCAGGAGGGATGTCAAAGGAACCTGGTGGGTAAGGACAGATCAGGAGTCTTATAGGGAAGTGGTAGCCCACTCTGCGGGCTGACGGGATGGAGCGTTAGGAGAGAGGTGGCTTTGATGGCCCGAACAGCGAAGGGAAGTGGGAGCCAGCGGGGTAAGGGGAGCCCGGGGAAGAGCAAAGAAGCAGGCACCAGGAGAGGGCCGGGCGGCGCAGCCCGGTGAGCCCGCCGGCCCTGGCCGGGGAGGAGGAGGCCGCTGCGCCGGGGGCGGCCCCTTTCCTCCTGCCCCTCCGCCGCGGGGCAGCCGCCGCCGGTCCGCGGGTGGCGGTGAGTGATGCGAACAGCTCCCCCGCACCGTGCCGGGCCATCCCTCACCTGTGTCGAGGTTGAAGGAGATGCGGGCCTCGGCGAGGTAGGGGGTGTCGCTCTTGGAGCGGACGCGGCGGATGGGTCTGCGGTCGATGTCCTCCTCAGAAGATGCCGCCATTAATGTGGGCACGGTGAGCAGCGTGGCCCGGCGAGCTGGCGAGGGCGAGCGGCCGTGTGGGGTGGCCGGGCGAGGAGAGGGCAGGAGGGGAGGTACGAGGGAGAGAGGCGCGGGGAGGGGGAGGGGAAGATGGGGAAGGAGAGAGGGAAAGGGAGAAAGGAGCGCAGGGAGGGAGGGAGAGAGACAGGGAAAACCCGTCAAGGATCTCCGGACGGGAGCGGCCGCGGCGGCCCTGCCCGCTGCCCCTGACCCTCCCCACCGGCAGCGCCTCCGCCGGCCGAGCCCCGCCAGGGGCCGCCCGCTTGAGAGCGGCGACCTTCGCTCCGGGGAGCCGGAGCGGTGTGTCCCCGCCCACAGCCCAGGGCAGGGTCGCGGCTGGAGGATCACCCTCACTCCGGCTGATGTGGTTTCACGCCCCCAGGGCAGGTTCCCAGCTGAGGTGACAGCTGCCCCCATCAAGCACCGTGGCCCAGTTGAGATGCCAGATGCCACCAGCATGGCCTGGCTGGCGGAGATGGTACCTCCGGACGCAGTCTTGGGCACCCTGAAACACTCTCTTCTAGGCTAGGAGACAAACTGAAAGCGCGGCTGGATTGAGACATGGTGGAAAATCTGAGGGCTCATTCCTTCACTTCCTCCTCGTCTTCCCTTGGGCAAAGCCATTAAGTAAACCACAATGGTTCACCAGGGCAAGCACTTTAAAATGCCTGGGGGAGTGAGGGATCTACACTCAATGTTTAACACTGGCCATCATTTAGAGCTTGGGACTCCTATACACAAGTTATTCTGTCAGGTCTTTGAGACAAAAGAAACCAACATGACCATACGAACATATCAGTTAATCCATTCTCCATCTGCAAAGTGGGAACAATGTTTTGTTCCTTCTGTTCTGTCTCATCTTCTCTATTTAGTAATCAGAAATTTATGTAGAAGTTCTGCCTCTGTGGTTGTGGGTTGCCTGCCATGTTAGGGCACAAGTTTCAGTTGGGACTTCTAGATGTTGGTGTAATACAAATAATTGAAAATGCTATTAAAAAAAAAAGTGTAGCACAAAAGTGCTACACAAAGTGAGAGTTAAACAATTAAAGTGTGTGCCAGGGAGTGCGTTGTTTCATCCCCTTTAACACAGATTTTTTAAAGAAAACCCAGTCTGCTTAAAGTTACTAAGTTATCAGTACTTCCAAAATCTATTGTTTTGGTCAACCTCAGTGAGAAAAAGGACCAAGGAAAGCCAGGGCTCAGTAACTCTGAAGGCAATGATAGTAGCATTAGCTGATCTGAATTTTGGGTGACAACTGTGTTAGTCTTTCCTGTAGAATCAAGAGTTTCTGTCACACATTTGCAAATTGAACCTATAGAGGTTTTTGGGTGTGCTGAATGTTCTTCCATGGTCATGATGTTGGGTTCAGCTGGTCTGCTGTTAATTCCAATCCCTTCATGACTGTTCACAAGAACTTTCATGGTTTTGGATGCCAGGAGTGGATAAGTTACATTTTTATCTTGTTTGCAAAACTGTTCTCTTTTGCTCTGACCTCACAGGCTCACCCTAGCTAAAAGAGAGGAAAATAGTACTCAGGAGAATCTTGGAAAGGATCCCTGTTCATACACATGCAGGTGCTTGTAGTTAGACAGCAGTGACATCCTTGGATTTCTGGTGAACCATCATGCTACTTGAGAAGGAGGAGGTACCATCTGGTCCATCTGCATCTCAAAAAAAGTCTTTAATTAACATCATGTGGTGTTTGGGGTGGTCTTACCATTATCAAGGTTGAAGCAGATCCTAGCTTCTTCCAAGTAGGGGGTGTCACTCTTAGACCGAAGTCTTCTGATAGGTCTCCGGTCTATGTCATCCTCAGAAGATGCTGTCACCAGAGTGGGCACGGTGAGAAGAGTTGCCCGACGAGCTGGTAAAAAAGAACAAATGAGGAGGAGGATAGCAGGAGAAAGGAGAAATAGGAAAAGGGAGGAAGAGGGATTAAAAAAAAAAATAAAAGAGAGAAAAAAGGAAGACAGAAAATCACTCAATGAAAAAGAGGCTCTGTAACAGGTACAGGAGGCTGTTTGCTTAAGGTCACTGCCTCAGCTGCTGCAGAACTTAAGGGCTGTGCTGAATGATACCAAGAAGAGAAAAGATTTCTATGTTGTATGCCCCAAAGACACAGGTTATAGCTCAGTTCCTGCCACAGATTGCTTGTTCAAAGTTCCTGGTTTTGCCACTTGAACCACTCTTTTCAGAGCTTCTCAATAGCTGCAGTCTTTTGCTGAATACTGTTTTTGAGGCTGTGATGCCAGAATAATGGAAGTATTTGTTTGCTTGATTTGCAGAAATTGGTGGAAGCTGTGCTTGGGACATGTGATGTGGTGCCTACAGCAACTATTCCAAAACTCAGTTTCTTGTTGTCTTGGTTTGGGTATTCAAAGTTAACAGCTACTTTTGCTCTTGATCACTTTATGTCGTAGTTTCTTAGCTGTAGAACAGGGAGAATCATCATTTTCTTTCAGTAGGGATTCCATGAAAAGATAAATTTATTAATATTTGTAAAGTATTCTTATACTTTAGTGAAACACTGATGAAAAGCCCATGAGGAAATTAAGATTTCTATCTTCTGAACAGGGTTTAAATGGCTTGGGCAATGCCTTCAAGGAGGAGAACACAAAATATTTAATAGTGGCTCATTAAGTAACACTGCCCACTCTATGCATTGATAAAGCCAATGGTAGGATAGTGAAAAATTTGTGTCATCATGCAACTAGAAACCAAACTATAGTACATACGTGTAAGGTGACTGAATTAATGTTGCAGAGGCCACCTTCATTCTGCCTTTGCCTAAGTGTTTAGCACTTGAACTTAAGCCTCAGTAACTTCCCTCTAATGTAGGTGGGTTTTATGTGAAATGTAATTTTGAGTGACTGTTGAATGCTTTGGGTATTGAGGCTATAAATGACAAATCACAAACAGAGGAGCTTCTGTAAATACATCCACCTTAATTCTCCCTCTGAATAGAAAAAGATTATCACAAATGTTAGATGGATCTGGCTGATCACTGAAAGCATGAGCACCTTGCACAAGTACCTGTCCATTTTGTTTCTTTACCCTCCACCTCATATATAGCTGGAAAAAGAATTTCGGCTTGAAAGCCCATCCTACTCTTAATGTACAGCTTTTAACGTTAACTTTCACATGGGAACCTGTAAGAGCCTAACCCCTGGGTGTTTCTTGCTCTGTGGACATTATCTGGTTTAAGTCTTTATCTTAGAGATTCTGCAAACTCTACACTTCCAATAACTAATTATGAACTATATTTTCCTGCTGGGACTGGAGAGCATGACTGATAATGAGTAAGAGCATATTCTGCAGCCTGATAACTGTGATTCTTTCTTTTAAGAGTGTTTTAGAGTTCCAAATAATACCTGTCAATCAGAAGCCTTCAGATGCCTAAAACCTGACTTCAGCGTTAGGTAAGATAGCATATAATTAGTATGAGTTAGCAAAGCTGTCATATCTATTTTTCAATTTGCAGCTTTATGCAGTTTACTAAACAAGCAAATCTGTGCTGCTGGAGGTAACAGTTATTTCTGGTCTAACTTGTTTCCTGGTTTTAAATAGATTCCTTTCAAGTTTTTGCTCATTTCTAACCTAGCATTTGAATTTGAAGTAAAAACAGAGGGCAAGCATTGAAATTGATCTAATGGGGTCAACTATTTAGATTAAACTAAAGTAAACACTGCAACTAAACTATAAATTATTGCTCCCTTGTAATATCATGTACAGTAATGAAGATAGAATGGAAAATTTCTGCTATGGAGAATTTTGTGTACTGCATCATCAAATTTACACTTAAGGAAGTTTCATCTGTATACGAAGTCAGGATTGTAAAAAACATCTTACAAAACAACCATGTAAAAGATTTGGTTTTTAAAACTGGAATGATCTAGGTGTAGTTGAAGTCAGTGAAAGGGCACCCATGTATTTCAGGGTTGGCTGGATCACAGCACGAGAGTCTGTTTGAAAAAAAAAAATCAACACCAAATTGCATATACATTTATAGTTATCAGAGAACAAGTGGGATTTTCTGTATAATTGTTTATAAATATTTTTTACCTTTTGGGTCAAAATATTGGGATCTGGCTTGTATTCGTTTTGACTAGAAGTAGGTGGATGGTGAAAAATGTTTCCTGGAGTAATCATTATATATTACTTTGACAATAATGTTTATCTCTCCTTTAAGGGTATTACCAAAAGGAGTTTTCAAGAATGACTGGAAATTTGAAGTAGACATTGGAAAAAATTCTGAGGAAGCTAGTAAGTATTAAAATGGTTTGCAATAAAAACCTAAGATTGATTCTTACGCAGTCACAGAAGTGGATAGTATCACTGATCATGTTCTGGTATACATACAGTGATGATGAATATTTATGTAGGTGATGAATATACCTTTTTTCCTAACTGTAATCCATAGCACTTGTTATTACAAGAATGATTTACCAAATATTTCTTAGCAAAGCTGTCAACAGTTGCCCAATGTGACTGTTGGGTCCACTCCAGGTAACCCAGCAGTATCTCTGTTTTGAGCTGCTCTCCACAAAGCAGCTCAGTCTCTAGGATGCATTTTTAGGAGATAGTTTTTCAGAAAAATGTGAAAGTGTCCTCCTGAAGGTCATGAAGTAAATGAAGGACATTATGATACACATTAAGGGGCCCCTTTACACTGCAAATGGATTTGAGACCAGTGTCCAAAAACTCCTTTTCAGCAGACTAACAGGGCAAATCAGTCATTTTGGTTAAATTCTTTCATTCTCTTTGCATTGTTCCTCATAGTGTTGCCCCACAATTGGCACGTTGTGTCAACTTCTTGCCTGCGGTTTGTTAGAAGGGAAAAGGTTTCTTATGCAGGAAAAATACCTTAAAAATAGAAATGCTGTAATGAATGTAATGACACCTTAGAACCAATTGTATATAATCTGACATTTGTTGTCTCAAAATATTGTCAGTTACTGAAGTACAATGCAACTATACGTTTGGGAGAAGGGAATGTGAAATACGTAAATTATTTCATTCCATGTTCAGAGGCATTTTCAACGTACAATTTCAATATATTTAGTTAAAACTACAGGTCACCCAGGTTTTGAATGACATTTCAATTTACTGAAAACATGGAGGCAGTTTGCAAAGAATTTTTGATGGTTTTAATTTTTCTGTTAAAATACATTTCCACATATTTTAATAAAAATATTACTACTAATTTTTGTTTACTAAGAACTAGCTTTATGTTTTGAAGAGTTACAATTTTTTCTTTTAAGACTTGTATTTTTTAGAAAAATTTTGGACATTTTGAAGTTGGAAAAAATTATGAGGTAAAAAGCCATCCTCATAAAAATTAGAGAAAACATGAAGTATTAATCTATATTTTTTAATCCACTTCTAAGAATTTACTTTTATTAAATTGTTTTTAAAATATCTCATTGGTGACACAGATTTTTGGCTTGATAAGGTCTTTATCTAGCAACCCTTATTTAAACAGCAGATTCGTACCTCAAAATGCAAAATCTTTTGAGACCTGATGATTTTAGTCTTGGCACAAGAGAAGAGCTGAAATATTTCTGTTGGAGATGTCCCCACCTAGATGCATTACAACAGGTCTATTTCTGAAGCATATTATCACAAGAAACTTCAGGTAACATGGAAATAACTATAAAGGAATCTGGTTTACATCAGTAATCTTTAAGGCTTTTTTTTTTTTTTGCGTAAAATCTCATTTCTCAGAGCAAATTTTGAACAATTTTCAGAATATTTATGAAAATATTTTAGCTGCAGTGCTGCTGTTGCTGATTAATTAGGATACTTTGTTGATACTTTTCTTTTTGTTAGAGAAACATATGAGCTTCTTACTCAGTTCTCCTCCTTCATGTTTTGTTGAAAGGGCTCACCATGTAGATAATGCACACAGAAATGTATTTTGGCTGCATATAAGCTTTAAAAATGCCAGTTTGGGTACACTTTGATGCACCTAGAACATGATATTCCAGCTATGCTAAAAAGAAAAAAATATTAGATTGCAAATATTCTTCTGTAAAGGCAGACCAATTAATGGGTCATAATCGATGTTTACGTGGAAAATAATCTTTTGGTGGGATTTAATGTGAGTTCACTTTTGTCTTATTTTAAATGCAACTGATAAAGCACACCATTTGAAGGATCAGAGATGGAAAATGAGGCATGGCAGGCAAGAGGGGAAGAGAGCAGAACATGTGCAAGCACTGGAGAGGACATAATTTGTCATTTATGAAGAATGATTGTGTCTCCCAGATAAACACAGAAGCACATGCGTATGGATTGCTCCATGTCTCTAAAACAAAGCTCTTGAGATCTTTGACACTGCTTTGATGGACACCAGTAATCTGAAAGAAAGTACTTAGATGCATAGTATTCAAACACAGGCCTGAGGATTGCAAACAATAGTACACATGCAAAAGGATATCCACTTTTGCACACACGCTTGTTATGCTGGTTTATGATACCTGGGTAAATGCCTGCAATATGCCTAAGTAGCATTTTTTTGCTACATTTTAAAGGAAACATGCCTGTTCCTCTGCTGTTGTGTCCAAAAGCATAGGTTTCAGAAAGCAGACTACTAAAAATAATAAAAAAAAAAAATCAGCTAAATAATTGTGAAATAGGGACAAGAGGAGGCTTAGTTATTTAAAGTTAGTTTTTAGTAGAAAAAATATAGATTTAGTTTTCAGAATGCAATCTTTCAAGTGTGATCCATGCATAGGTTTTCTGAAGTTTTTTATATTTAGGGGTATAGAGGATTGGATCTGAAATATCCTGGTTTTATTCAGATATGCCTTGGAGAATTAGAAGATGCTTTTTTCTCCTGACTTGTATTTGGCTGACTGTATA